AGATGAGAGCGGTGTTCGGAAAGAAGGAGGAGGCGGGGCCCGCCTAAGAGCAACCCCACCTCCTCTTACATCACTGGCCAGCGTCCTAAGAGCAGGTGGGGCCGGTGATGTAAGAGGAGGTGGGGCCCGTCGATAGAGGAGGCGGGGCCCGGGGATGGAACAGGAGTCGGGGCCCGGTGACCACAGAGGCGCTGACAGGTAAGAGGTCTCAGACCCCACTATAGAGAGTCTATGGTGGGCTCTGCAGGGTCACTCTCCGCTGGGGCTCTGCAAGTGACATAACTAGCAATCACGGGGCCCCATACAAAATTTTGCTATGGGGCCCTGTGATTTCTAGTTACTCCCCTGCTTGCATGTGTTCGTGTACAATCACACACACGAGGGTTGAACTTGATGGCCCCGTGTCAGTACTCACGCACAGCGGCACCTCGGTTCACGAACAGGAAGTACGGCAAAATTTTGCTTCTGTTCGCGAACTCCGCATCAGGTGACGAACACAACCGCGGCCATCTTCCCCGCTCTGACACGTGGGCGTGGCTACCTCTAGTCGAGATGGCGGTCTGATCGCAGTTTGATTCGGTTTGCGCCCCGAGGTACCGCTGTACAGGCACGGTGTGCTATGTAACTATGGTGATATTCGGGGATTTTAGCACCCATGGCGAGCGCCTGAGGAACAGTCTTGAAGCCGTTTTAACATAACAAGGACGGTCTTTTCTTTCTTCCCGTAACAGAACACAAAGCTTCAACAATAACACAAAGGTCCCAATGTATGACATAATCTCACCGACTCCAGGTTGTTGCACATACTCCATGCTTCCCAGTCCCTGGACACTAACAGAGCCACATTCCACCTCTCGTGTGACTCTTACATCCCTCGTGTGTCACTGGCTCTCTGTCTCCCCTCCAGCACACGCAGCCACCTGACTCCCCTCTGACGTCTGGGGGGAGTCCTCCTCTCTCCTGAACACCTTCTGTTCCTCTTCCCAGCTGGAGCCCCGAACCTCAGCCAATAGCCGGCACCCTTCCCATAAGTGCTGAGCACAGGTGTGCAATCATCAGGTGCCGGCCACTACTAAACCCCGGACCCAGGACCGGAGATCTCATCCCTCCCTTAGAAATCTTCCTGTTCCAGAATCCAGAAAACTCGGAAGAACCGCAGAGTCAGCTCTTTCCCTGTACAGGAACCTGCCTCCTGGAACCGCTCAGCCCCTCTGGGTGACTACAACCCCCCCCCCCCACGCCGGGTCCCCTCCTCTCTCCTGATACTGTCAGGCGTTCGGTCCGTGACCGAGCGCCCGACTTTTCAGAGTGGGGTGACACCAAAATGACTGTGAGTCATTTTGGTGTCACCCCTCCAATGGTGCCACCCGGGTCCTACCACACAATACCACACTATGTAACAGATCATACATGACGGTCACGTGGCGTCCGCGGCGCTCTTTGTATGAAGCTGGAGGAAGTAGAACGCGCTGTGAATGTTTATAACATTTTCAGCATTTGACGTCTTCAATGGAATAAATATCGAGTTCAATGGACGGACGTCGTTCAGGATATAAATCCCGTCTTATAATAGTAGCGGGTAGCGCGGAAGTCCCGGTGTTTTGTTTCTCTCCGTCGGTGGTTATCATCCGGGATGGAGGTGGGAGGAGAGACGCGACGACATGTATACATCTTATATACAAAGAGAACCTGTCATAATGGAGCTCAGGATGTGAATATTCTGTCAAATTATTTCCACTCCGCGCAGTGCGTTCCTAATTCACACCTAGACGTATCGAATATGTGCGTTTGTCGCGCGTTTTTACCGCGACTCACGGTAAAAAAAAACGCGCGACTAACATGCGTTTCCGAGGGCTACCTGGCTGTATGCCAATGGATACGCGCGGCAAATACGCCCCAAAGAAGCTCCTGTACTTCTTTGGGCGTAGGGCGTTTTGCAGCGGGTTCCCAAGTGGGAACCAGGCCTATGAGCTCTTGGCAACATGTGAGCCCGTGGCTGACCCCCCTCCCCCGCCGCACTATCTGCCGCCCCACAGTGAGATGCCGCCTGAAGCCGCCTCATTATAGGGACGTCACTGAGCGCCAATATGACAAGGAATGACTTTGGATCTTCAAGTCCGGGGGGAGCCGCCCACACACATTACAATCTAATTGTACAATTACCTGCGAGGTGGACGCGTTCTTCTATCGGTCAGTCGCAGGAGGTTGTGTGAAGCATGGACCCGATATGTTGGCGCTCCTCAGGCCACAATGTGATTGTAGAATCTCCTTCAGAGGAATTGTGAGGACTTTACAACTCGATAGAAACTTAACCAACTCGGTGAAACCGAACTGAACCCTCCCCTCCCCCCCGCCAGCAGGATGCCAAAGAAGCCCCTTGCTCTCTGTGTGGAAGCAGTGGTCTCTCTGCTGAGGTCCAACACTTCCCTTGCTGAGTAAGAGCTAGAACTATCCAATCAGCAAGGAGCACAAGCTTTGCGACTTGCACAGATATAGGTCTGACTTAGCAAGGGGCATCTGAGTAGAAAAGCCTGCCCCCCGCCAGCATGCCGCAGAGACGGACCTTTGCTCTCTGTGTGGAAGCAGTAGTCTCTATGCAGAGGTCTAACACACCCTGCTAAGCCAGAGCTCTCCTAGCGGCAGAGAGCATGTAGTTTGCCGATTGCAGAGCTATAGGTCTGATTCAGCGGGGGGGATTGGCTGGACCTCTGCATAGAGACCACTGCTTCCACACAGATAGCATGAAACCTTCCCTGCAGCGTGCTGGCAGCAGACCGGCCTCTCCATGCAGGATGTGGCTACTTCATAAAGAAAATAATCCGGATCACCTTTGTTTTCTGGTTCAGTAATAAGCTTCCTAGGTCACGTCTGCTCATTGGATGAGGAATCACCTTCGTCTGTCCAATCAGCAGAGACCAGCGGTCTAAAATGAACAAATCTTTTGGTAAGTCAGAAGACGACCCGTATCTGCACAGTGTGGGGTTCCCCTTTAATGTTCCACTTGCCTCTGGAAATCTTTACAGTGCAGAGGAGAGTTACAGCATATGTTTGGGGGGTACAGCATGCGTCTGGGGGGTACAGCAATGTGCAGCGTGTGTCTGGGGGGTACAGCATGTCTGGG